AAAAGATTCACAGGTATTGATGGCACAGGTGAGTCTTTTTGAGTCTCCAAAAAGAAAAAAAAAAGACAATTGTGCAATTCAAAGGGAAACTAAGACTTTTTTTTCCCTTTGTGAAACAAGCTACTCTTGAACATGTTAGAAGCTGAGTCAGGATTATATGATATGAGTACAGATTGAGAAATAGAACCTAGTTTGGGAGGTTGTATATCATAATTGCTAAAAGCATAATCTTTTGAGTGAGAAAGACCCAGATTCTTTTTCCAACTCAAGCACTTAACCTCTTTGAGTCTCAGTTTCCTTGGGTGTAAATGGGAATAACAGTACCCATTTTATAAGGTTGTTCGTAGGGTTAAATGTGATAATTTTCTTAGCACAGTCTTTCTGTATGTTAAGCACTCACTTATCCTGAGGCTTTTATTCAAATCTCATGGATTGTTGTGTAAAGCCCTTAGCACAGTGCTTGGCATAGAGTATGCACTCAATATCTGATAGCTATTATTATTTCTACTAACATTAGTAAATATTTATTGAGAACCTACCACATGCTAGAGATATGGTCTCTGTTTTCAAAGAATTAGTCTAATAGGCTGCACAGACTAATAAACAGGCAGTCGTAAATGGTATAACATTGTGTTGTGACCAGGAAGGAGTTGGGGTCAGAGAAGGCCTCTGGAAGAACAGTCTACCAGGGAGAAGAGGGGGATTGATCCAGGCAGGGGAGCGAGTGTTTCATAGCAATCAAGGACTCTGTTCTCATTTAGCTAAAGCACATAATGGGAAGGAGCAAAAGTTAAAACATGGAGCTGGTGAGGTTAACTATAACCAGATTCTGAAGAGCCTGGTAAACCACTCTAGGGAATTTAGAGACATTATTATAAAGTAATGTGGTGAGCCACAGAAGTAAGAAAGGCTCATCATTAGATTTGTGTTTTCAAAAAATTACTTGTAAATTCCCTGTGGATTATGGAATCCACATAGACAAGAGAGACAAATGATTTTAGTTTGGGATGGGAAAGATCATAGTCTCACGCTTTGCTCCAAAAAACCTGGAGAGTTTCAGTGATGGTAAGAATGGGCTGCTGTAGATTGATAGGAAGGAATTTAAAATTGGAAAGGCACTGC